TAAAAAACATTTGTGTGCCAAATCAAAGTCATGGTGTGAAACCAATAAGCATGAAAAATAACCATAAAACAGGAAATTATATCATAGAGAGGACCTTTTTATGTACACCATCATCTGGTGTGACTTCCAAAATAGAATGTGAAATATTTATGAAATATTCATTTGATATTAGTAAAAAAAAAAAACATATATATGAATGAATAACTATACTGTATACCTTGAGGGAGGGTTATCCAAACATTTACATTGTCATTAATTACTCATCGTGGTACTCTCATAAAAGCGCATAGAAGACTAACATGGAAGAGAAGAAATTGTTGAATAAAGTCATTATTTTTGTTTTCTTTGCAAACAAAAAGTATTCTCGTAGCTTCATAAAATGAAGGTTGAACCACTGATGTCACATGGACTATTTTAACGATGTCCTTACAACCTTTCTGGGCCTTGAACGTTTCAGTTGCGTTGCTGTCTATGCAGGGTCAGAAAGCTCTCGGATTTCATCAAAAATAACTTAATTTGTGTTCAGATGATGATCGAAAATTCTACAGGTTTGGAACGACACGAGGGTGAGCAATTAATGACAGAATTTTCATTTTTGGGTGAACTAACCCTTTAAAATATTTTTAAAACTTTTTTTAAAGAACTGACAGTCACACATGTATATTCAAGGTGTAAGAAAAACATGTCACTTTTACTTAGAGCCATTATGTCTAAACCTTTTTTGAAAATTGTATAAAGGTTTTTCTAAACCATGTAAAACCATGAACACAAGAACGAAATTTTTAAAACTAAGAAAGATTTTCACAGGAAGCCTTACCTGCCAACCCAGAGCCCCGAGTATGATGGTGGACATCAGGCTGAAAAGCACCAGGCGTTTCGATATGAGACAGAAGTGCCGCATCCCCTTAGACGCCATGACCCGGTCCAGCTCTCCAGCCTCTGACGTGTGCACCATGCACATCTTCTGACAGTCACTCAGCTTGCTGTGAAAACCCCACAGCGTGACGAGAAAAACCAGGTGGCAGATGATCCAGAAAACAGCAGATCCTGAAAGACCCGGGATGAGAAGATACCACCGATCCAGATCTCTCATCTTCAGAGCGGCCACGATCAAAAACATCACCTCCATGACAACCAGAGGAAGAAGCGATAAACGCCTCCACAGGCCTCTTCTCAGTAGCAGCGGTGACCAGCGTTCGGTGACCGAAAGTCCGCTGAAGTAGACGTCCAGTAATGGGTCGCAGACGAGGCGGCTGAGGAAGCAAGACAAGGCGAAGGGGTTGGTTGACACTCCTAAAGACTCCTGGAAGAAGAACGCAGCGACAACCGAGAAGCAGACCAGGTTTGGGATCGCGAAGAGGGACTTCATGCGCAAATCCACAATTAGAGCAGCCAAAGCCAGTGACAGGACCACAAGACTTATGGATTTTTGGCTGACCAAGGTTGTGCTGGCCACAGCGAAGCCTGTGAGCTCCAAAGCTTCCCTTGAGGTGAGGAAGGTGGGTTGATGTCGGGTATAACCGCACATTCTTCCAACCAAAGCCCATAGGGTTCGTATCGCAATACTTGCTATTAACATATAGTTGGCCACCTGCTCCTTAACATCGAGCTCTTTGGACGGGACATTGATGAAGCACAGCAAACCCAGAAGGAAACCAAACCACAGATGCAGGAGAAACAGGCTGACGCTCTCCATGCCGAAGTAATAGTGGAGAATGCAGGCAATCCCAAGAACGAAGAGGCCCAAAATGAAAATGACCAAGATGATAGTGTCTGCGGTTTTCTCCCATTGTATGTAAATTCCCAGGCAAATGGCCACCAGGGAGTTCAGGCTGGACAGGTAACCGAGGTACCGAATGGATGACCACATGCTGACCCCTTTGTTGGCTTCGTCCAGCCGGGTCATCACAGCGTAAAGGAAGTGACTGAAGCAATACTTGAGCAGCTTGCACATCGTTGCAGAGTTCAAACTCGCACAACAACAGAAAAAACTTGCAGACTCAACGTCGCGAGTGATGTAATTTATATGTCACAACAGGAACAATTATTCGCGACACAACTATTCAGCAAAAAGGATGTAAGAAAGGCATATTGTATGGTGGATTTGAGGTAAATCTCAAACTAAACCGTTCCTAGAGACATTTTAGTGCAAAGGTTAGAGTAACATCTACAATGAAACATTGTCAATATCCACCTGTTATGCTGCATGAACCGAACAGTTCAACTCAAGGTCATGGTATAACGAAGGCGTGAAGTAGATGTGCAAATGTTAAACTCGTCAAAAGTTACTAAATAAGAGGTGAAGAGTTTTAACGTGCTGTCAGTCTGATTTAGTCGAGCAGATTCCAGTGCGTTTACCGGCATCAGAAAGTTCACAGAATGTGTTGCTTCTGTTCACGAGAGTAACGTCGATTGAATCAAGCTAAAAGAAATACGCAAGTAGATATACAAGTCATTGAGCGTTGTCGTTTACAGAAAACCAACTAAACCTGGAAATGTATCGCACAAAACCCAGAGCCATCGCCTAAACTTCGCTCAATGTCCGCCATGTTTGCACATCGGTATTAAGCCGCTACGGAATCCCTGAAAGGACAAACACCGCGTCCATCGTCGTCTCAGTGAAACTGGGGTGAATGGAATAAAATGTTTTATTTACACCTCTGTTATTTATAGCAAAAATGCTTTTACAATATTAAAAATACTGGAAAATTTGTACACGGGTATACGTTTTTGTTTATATAAATTTATATGAGATTTATGTTTTTGAAATGTCTCATTCTTACCAAGGTTGCATTTATTTAATTAATAATACAGTAAAAACGGTAATATTGTGAAATATTATTACGTTTTAAAATTGCTGATTTTAAAATGTAATTCCTGTAATGCAAAGCTGAATTTTCAGCAGCCATTTCTCCAGTCTTCGGTGTCACGTGATTTTAATATGCCAATTTGCTGCTCAAGAAAGATTTCTTAACATCAATGCTGTGTAACATTATAATCTATTATATCCATCCATTATAATACAATTATTTTAACAATCTTTACTGACACCTTTGATCAATTTAATGCATCCTTGCTGAATGAAAAAATATTACTGACCCCAAACTTTTGTGTACATTCGCACTACAACAGATAAACATTTAAAATGTATTCTGTCAGATATGAAACATATATAATCGCTAGAATAGAATAGCTGTAAAGCATTTAAAGTGACCTGCTTCAGGCAACTGAAAGACCAGAGAGAAGGCAACAAAAACCTTTATTTATAAAAGATGAATAACAATATTCCTCACAAATAGTCCGGTTCTGTGGGAGTCAACCATCATAACACTGATAAAGAAAATCAATCATGCAAACAGTGGATTAGAGCCTGGGGAAGACAAAGACATTTGATATGTGAATATCTGAACACACCACCAAGTAAACAATATAACACAAAGCTTTTTTTTTTTTTTTAAATTTTTTAATGTTTTAAAATGTCTTTTTTTCTTGGATTTATAAATCGAGTACAGACTAAATAATGCCTTTAACTGCTATTGCTAACAGGGCAGTATATTTCAGTCCTTTTTTTCCAAGAGCTGGTTAATTTGCTGAAAGTATGTTCTGTCACTGTTTACTGTGGGAGAGAAATTATCGCACTTTCTTATGACAATCAGTAGCCTGTTCTTGAATCCAGTCTATATGATCACAAATGCAAAAATATAATTTGTGTTTGAAGGCACCTTGAGGAGGATTTTTTTTCTGATACCCTGAAAGGTCACATACTGAATTCTATCACCGTTTCAAATCTTTCCACACTTATTTTTGGCACCCCTAAAACACATTTAAAGTGCCTAACACCAAAACCTCACATAGATACTTCAACAGAACCCCAATGTACTGAATGTATCTCACACATTCCTTCAAGAGTAAAGACCCATCACAGCATATTCTCATGTCATCTGGTTTACCAAACGGTAGCCACATGAATACAATAGAAAACAGTGCCTAATATCAGTTACTCAATATAACTGCCAGGTTACAGTGATATAGGGAATTTTTGACCGTTTATGATTATGAACGTATTGCTGTTCTAATGAAGTGCTGATGCCAATATCGATATTTTGCCAACTCTACGAAGGGTGTTATCGAAAACGTGCAAATATGTGCTTTGACAGTCAAAATAGTGTTTTTAAGAACCTGGAGTGAATAAAAAAGCTGCAAATTCTGCAGTTACATACATAGAAGCTAAAAAACATACAGTGATACGCAACAATCTTTTTGTAGTACTTTTAAATCAATATTTGGCAGCGTACTTTGCTAATTTTTGTACCTTCAAAGCATTATTTTGTAACTGAAAGCGGGAAACTAAAATAATGTACTGAAACACTCACTGGGATTTACACCAGATAACGATACAGGAAGTAGATTTAGAGCAACCGAAGGTTTCGAGAGTAAACAGTCAAGAGTAAACAATCATCCTACTCAATAAAGTCACATTATGGCGAAATGCAGAGAAATCTAACCTCTTCCATACTACATACTACTGACAAGCAATCGGATATTACTAGTTATAATAGCGGTTAAAGCAAAAACTAAGGCAGACACGCAGCTACTTTCAGGCCGTTTGATCGCAAGATTAGAAACGCATTGCCCCATGCATGCATCCAATCCGGTCACCTGCAAGATTGTTTGTTCTGAAAAACTATGACTACTTTGCACGATTTGTACCTTGTTGAAGCGAGAAATCCACATTCACAGTTACAATGTCACATAACCAAACACGCACAAGTTCTGCAGACACTTAAAATGCTACAAATATCATTGATAAAGGCTATTCAAAAAAAAGTAGGTAGAGAACAGATGGCTGAAATTGCAATCTAAAATGTCCAGTGAAAACCTGCTAAGAATCAAACCATTAATTGGATAGTTCACGCAAAAATGGAACATTCTGTCATCATTTTTTCACCGCCATGTTCCAAAACTGTATTCAATTCTTTTTACTTTAATGTTGAACTTTTTTTGTTCTTACAATGGAAGTCAATGGGGTCCAAAATGACTTTCATTGTAACTTTCGTTTCAATGTAACTTTTAGTAACAATAAAACTCAATGGGGTCCAAAACAACATCTTTTTGGACCCCATTGAGTTTCATTGTTACTAAAAGTTACATTGACTTTGACTGTATGGACAAAATTACACTGAGGCATTTTTTCAAAGAATATGCATTTCAGAGAAGACGGACATCATACAGGTTTGAAACGGCATATTTGGGCAAACTATCCTTTTACGAAAATCAGCTAAAAAAGTCCAAAACAATATGGTAACTGACCAAAAGGTTGGATCTTTTGACACTGACGCCTAAGGTATAAGTTAAGCTAGTCTGAAAAGGTTTGTCCAGTCATTCTAAAAATGAGAAAACAGCCAAAGTGGGTGAGCAAAATCTCCCTCGACCTGAAATCACTCAGCTGCTTCTGTTACAAAACCACATCACTTCTATTTCTTAGTTAAGATTGTTTAGTGTGTACATTTGTGTTCAAAAGGATGTCTTGCACACTCTTAAAAAATCGCTCACTTAAACGTCCTCATTCACTCTGTGCAAACTTTTTGCTTCTTAAAAAGGGGTAGAGTACACAAACGCAGCAGAGCAATTTTGGCAGCACGAAGGTAGGGTACTAAATATCAAGAGGGGCAGTTAACAAGTTCAGCTCTGCAGCAAAATAGGGTCTTCCAGCTCGTGGAAGGGAGCCGAGCTGCTCTGGCTCTCACCCGAGTCCGAATCATACGGTGTGTCTGGCAATTCCGCGACGCTACAAGCCAACTGGTCGTCCTCGAAATCGGAGTGCAAAGGTTCGTAGCAATCTGCGAATCCATCCTCGTCGAGAGTGTTAAAGTCCTGCGGGATGTAAAGCATCTCCGGGTAGTTGCGGCTGACCAGGTCGCTGCTGGTGGTGGGCGACACCTTGCGGAAAGCAATCAGGTGCATGTGGGAGAACTTGACGTACTTGTAGTGCTTGAAGCCCAGAGACTCCACTGCAACTCGCCAGCTGCGCATCATAAGTGCGTGCCGGCCCTGGTGGGAGGAGTCGGGGGTGATGATGAGGAGCAGGCCGTTCAGGGTCAGGAGTTCATGTGCTTTCTTGCAGCAGAGCCAGCGCTGGTAGGGCGAGGGGAAGTAGGAGAGAAGCAGGGAGAAGACTACCACGTGAAATAACTGTGCAGGTAAAGCGTCGATGGGGCCGCACAGCTGCCGCAGGAAGGCATCCAAGGCATCGCTGGCCAGCTGCAGAGGCTGCTGCAGCTGCAGGTTCAGAAAGTCGCATTTGTAGACGCTCTGTAGCCATAAAGAGGAACAAAAAAAATCTGAACATTTAGCTTGACTCAGCAGGACAGGTAAAATTAGTACAAGGGTCAATGACAGAAAGAGCGTCTAAGATAACGGATATAAATACATGTATTATATAGTAATTTCCTAGAAATGTACTTTTTGTATTCATACTGGTTTTGAAAAACTTTTATATAAATTTTTGCAAAAGTTTCAATTTAATGACTATAAAATGTAGCGTCACCATTATACTATTATTCAAAAGTTTTTTTTTATATGAAAAATGCATTCAATTGATAAAAATGACAGTCAAGACATTTACAATATTTAATACACACATTTTTATTTGAAATAAATGCTGTTTTTCAAAACTTTCTAGTCATCAAAAAATACAAAAAAAAATGTATCACTGTTTCCTCAAATTTAAGCAGTACAACTGCATTCAACATTGATAAGAAGAAATGTTTCTTGCATATTAAAATGATTTTTTAAGGATAATGTGAGACTGGAGTAATGGCTGCTGAAAATTCAGCTTTACATCACAGAAATAAATTAAATTTTAAAATACACTGAAATAGAAAACAGTTACTTTAAATTGTAATAATATATTCACAATAATCCTGTTTTTACTGTTTTTTTATTAAATAAATGCAACCCTGGTGAGCATAAAATACTTCATTGCCAGGATGGTTGTACTACCCTGACATTTTTGAGTTTTTTAAATTGATGCCCAAAAAACTAAAATATAAAGAGGTGTATTCAAGCCATATTTTTAAGGTTTTGAGTAAATAAATTAATAGATTCAGACAAAGAAACAATGTAATGTAACCAATAGCAAATTTTAGTCAGGGTATATGACAATTTATTGAATTTTTTTTAAAGATTTATTTTTGGCATTTTCGCCTTTATTATGATAGGACAGATCAGAGCTGACAGGAAGCGAATTGGGAGAGAGATGGGGGGCGGGATCTGGAAAGGTCATCGATTCGGGATTCGAACTCGGGACACCCGTTGCGCAACAACGCTGTATATCGGCGCATTGCTCACAAGGCTACTGGCGCCAACAATATTTTATTAATTGTTAAGTTAATTAACAAGCCTACGATCTCATGTAACTTCAAGAAACACAAACCTCTACTGCTGGCACAATGTCGATTCCAACAGTCAGAAACTCGTCAAACTTCAGGAAGGGATTGAAACAGCTGCCCACATCCAGCAGTCGTATCCTCCCAAGCTGGAACGTTGAGCTGTTACGAAGCATGAATAAAAAGCTGATTTAGTCAATTAACTCATTACCATCTGTTAAATTTGTGGATTTGCAGTGTTAATATCATTCTAGAGCACCTTGAAGAGGATGACTGTGGTGGAGAGTTTGCGGATGTGTTATTCCCAGCTGCGGCATGCCTAGTGCTTTTCTCATCCTTCTCCAACACTCGCCTCATCCCTCCTTCCTGGAAGTACTTCTGGCAAACACTGTGGCAAGAGCGATTTAACAGCAATAAATACCAAATCAGCTACTCAACATAAAATACTAACCATTAGCACTCATACCTGCGGCACCACTCGATGCGCCCCTCGCCCTCGCATTTATTCGCCCAGTGGTTGTCAGCCAAGTTCTTCATGGCCATGGCATATTCGCTAAGAGTCTGCTCGTCTTCACAATGTTCACGCCATATTTTCTCGAAATCTCCCACTGCAGTCGAAAAGACAAAACAGAGGAGCGTACAGTCATGATTGATCCTTCTGCGAGCCATAACTAAGTGAACATTTTCACAAAGCCTACTTTCAAAGGTCAGCTGATGTTGTGCTTCCTCTAAATTTCGATTCTGAAACCGTAGCCTCAGAAGGCTCACAAAACACAGTCCGATTTCTTCAACAACTCAGTGAAACTCCATCGCCAAGCTCAAAAGTACAGTATGATCAAAGCGTTTGTGCTGATTCACACAGTTCACAAACTTGCTGATAACACCGATGACACCAGAAAGCAACCGCTACCCTACAAGAGTGCTCGGGAGGGCAAGAACTGACAAAAATTGAGCCGTCCCATGACAGAATGGAAAATACAGGCCTTATCAGATTTACAGAGAATAAGACAAGAAGGGAAGAGACTGCCGCCCCGTTACATATGAATACTGCTGTACAATGCCAAGAAGACCAGATCACGCCTTCCTTATTAACCCATCACGGGGTCTTGTGAATAGACTACTGTGTGTGGGATTCATAGCACTGCTCATCCCTCTCGGGGGAAGATTCGATAAAGCTAGTCTGAACCATGAGAAACTCAACAACACATTTAAAGTCAGACGGTATAAACATGGTGGTATTTTATATTAAGTTAGGCGTCCTGCGGGTACAACTGATTGCAGGCAAAAATATAACATTTCATAATCTCTGTCATGATATCCGTCTTGGATGAAGCTCACTGCAGTGCAAGACTGTAACAGGAAATGTAACAACATCCTCCCACAGTCAGTTATCTCTATCAATAAAAAGACTAGGTCTATTTGTCTTACTATTCTCAAGATAATATTTTTACATCCTTTTTAAAAAATGTGCACGCATCGTTTTTTGGGACTTAGTCTTCATCAGACATAACAAGAGACACTTTCCAAAAACTGGGTACAAAATATGGGCCGAAAAATGGCATTTTTAAACGTGATAGACTGTGCTTAAAGTGATAGTTCACCCAAAAATGTAAATTCTGTCTTCATTTACTCACCCTCATTTCTTTCCAAACCTGTATTACTTTCTTTTTTCTGTGGAACATCAAACAAGATATTTTGAGATTTGCTGAGAGTTTTAATTTTTGGGTGAAGGGTCCCTTCCCTTCAACATGACATGTGTTGATGACAGTGTTGCATGTTTGTTTTATATACAGTGGAGAAGGCCAAGACCTCCAAGGTTGCCAAAAAAAGACTGGATGCAGATATTTAACTTGATATTTAAGTCAGAACACTATCAGTGAATTTTGTTCTTTTTTTAGGTACACTTTAAAAAAAGAACATGCTAAAATCTCTAATAGGAAAGTCAACTGAGGAGAGAAGCTAGTGTACTAAAGAGTAGGCAACTAAAAAAAATCCAGATTTACAACACAAGTGCTCATAACCACAGTGACATTGTCACACTGAAACCAATATAACTGACGTCAGCTCTAACTCTTCCTGATTGCAATTCTTCTGTTGACACTTGGTTGAATTAAATTTCCAGTTCACTTATTTAATACTTATTTTTTGTACTTTTAATATATTTATCCTTAAACCAAATGTTAAAAGTTTAAAAAACACACAAAAAAAACACGCTATATATACTTATTTTGCCTATACTATACCATCCCCAGCAAGTAGACACACTAAAAATTAGTCAGCTGACCATTATTTATCATAGGTGTATTAGGTCATTAGATAAGAAAGGTGTTAAACTATAAATGGATAAATAATTGACAGTGAAGAGGACACTAAAGCTTTCAGAGCAGCACACTTGTCACCTGTACAGTGTACACAGTCAGTGTACATAATTCAGAGGGATCATGCTCATAAATTCTTGCTTTATTGCCTTTTTCTTCCCTAAAGAGAATTAAAAATTGTTTATGCTTTCAAACACAGCCGTCGGATCAATGAAGAGCAAAACAGGAACAGATGAACGACCCTGCACAGGCTTGCTGACTAAACTATAACGTCGTGCTACATACAGACAGACAGACAGACAGACAGACAGACAGACAGAAAGAAAGAGGCTGTTTCAATACCTAATGTGCTGCCTACATAGACAGCATTATTTTAGAGCGTTCGGAACATTCTATTCAAATGTTACCCAAAATGCTGTCTATGTAGGCAGCTCACTAGGTTTTGAGCCACAGCCAATGGTTTCCAAAATGAGCCAAGTACGAAATCAGTTCATGTCAACAGTCATGCAATCTAAGTTTACATTAAAATAACTCTTTTATTAACTCATTTTTGTTCTCGTAGGTCCACGGTTGTTTTCCAGGCGTTTAAATGTCCGCGTCTCTGATCAGGCCAGACTATAGAAGCTGGTCTAGGCTAGGCTACACAGCTACGCATCTCATGCAGTACCTTCAATGTATTTCCTGCGGAGTTTTCGGTGCACGCTCTTCACCACCCCCGACAGCTTCTCCTGCTCCTGCTTCCTGCACTGCAGCTCCGTCGCGACGGAGAGATCCGGCTCTGTCTCAGCGCTGCTCCGCTGGTCCATAGTACAGTACAGCACTGAGGCTACCGGCGCACCGGCTCCGTCAGCACGCACGCACCGCAACAACGCGCAGCCTGATTGCGCCTCTCCAGTCTCCAGCGAACACGGCACGGAAGTGCGCGAAAAATCTGTGAACGCTGAAAATCAAACGCCTCAATCTCTAATCAAACTCTCTGAAGGGTTGATAATTAAGTTTGATCATTACATTTGGATAACTTAATGATACAACTTGTATTATATTACATATAATAATAATAATAGTTTATTAATATATATAATTACAATAATAATAATTATTGTTGTTGTTGTTATTAACCATCATTATGGTTAGTATGTACAGTATTATTCTATGCAATTAATTATATAGCCTAGATGTTTGCAAATGTAATATGAATTATTTTAAAATATTATTTAAAATAATAATTTGATACTTTATATAGTTACTGTTACCGTTGTTAATAAAATAATTAAAAATAAGAATACTTCAGATAACGGATTGGCCCTTCATAAAAGGCATGTAGGCCAAATTTAGACTAATAAGACTATAAAGCTATTATTTAGTATAGTAGGCCTATATGTATACATACATATACATTTTGTATAAATATACTGTGTGTGTGTATGTATGTATATACCTGTATATATACACACAAACAGTATGTTTATACAATTAAATGTGTGTGTGTGTGTGTGTGTGTGTATTCACAGATTTCCTTTGCTCCATAGTAGATGTTTCCATTTACACTGACTGGATTACGAATACAGGGGCGGTCAAAGCAGGGAGTCCCACTGCTAACAATAATCCACATAGGTCTTTCTAGCGTTTGGTCGTGAGAATCACATCGGTGGCTCACATTCCCACGCTCTGACACAGAATCCTTTGTGGCGAGAAGAGAACGTGAGTTCTGTCATGTTTCACCCCACAGAGGTCTGGGTTACTCTGTGGGTATTATAAACCTCACTAAACCCAGTGGATAGCAGAACTAGTCTGACCCAGAGCCGTTGAAGAACGTTGTTCAACGGCTCTGATCTGATCCAATGAGTTATTTTGCAGTAGTTTCGAATTATGATGAATTCATGTCAAAACCATTTATTAAAAATGACTATAATGTAGCCTACAGTATGACATTGGTGATGCTGTTGCCAATTTCTCATAGCGAAAGATATATGAGGTAAATATAGGTAAAGTGGGACACTTTTTAACATTGGGAAAAATGTCAAAAATGGATTAATCATATATGTAAGCATATTATCTTGTCAGTAGCCTACATGGTGCATCAACCATAAATTAGCAAGCCTGGAGCCACAATGCCATTGTGTGTCCCCTTAGGTTTGAAAATGTCATCATGTAGTTCCATCCCATTTAGAGGGAGTGATAATCCCATAATAGTTACCATGCTCAACTGTACAACTCCTCCCCCATGAACTACAATGTTTCTTATTCTATCAACTTATAAATATGCAGTCATTCATCTAGCCATGAAATTATAGTGTTCTAACGATGACCCTAGGGAAAGTTCACTGAAAGGTGAAAATTATGTAATTTACTCACCCTTATGCGTTCTTTCTTCTGTGGAACACAAAATACAATATTTTGGAAAATGACTTTAAAAATAACTAATTCATTAATTACATTTTTTTTTTTTTTTTTGGTCTATACAATTAAATTAATTTGGGTCCGATGTTGCTATGGACCCCAATGACTTTCACTGTACGGCCAGAAGCAACTGAAACATTCTTAAAATATCTACAGCTAAAAAAGGAGTCTATTTGGAGAGATCTGTGGTCAGATTTATTTCTGTGAACTGCAGAGCCTAATAACCTGGAGATGAGATCACAGTTCATCTGTTTGTTCATTGAAAGCCAGTTCCATGAAAGATGTCTAACAATAAATGGACAAGATAAAGACAACTTGTTGAAATAATAACAGGTGCACAATATTGAATTAGAATAAAGTAAATCTGTTGACTGGACAAAGCAAATTTACAGACACCCCAAAGAAATAAAAATCAATAAATCTTATCTATTTTGAGTGCACAGTGATGGAAGTTATGATTTACTTTACATGGTTTATTCATTAAGTTTACACACCTGTGCCATATGACACCTCTGTCCTTATGAAGCAAAAGCTGGCAAAAGCTGGCAGGTTGGAGATGTTAAGACCATAACGTTAGGTATATTGAAACAAAAGAGGATATTGATCCTTAATGTCTTTAGAAAAAAGGTAGTCTCAAACTGTTTTACTGTAAACAGACCAGACAAATTAAGTAACTCTAATAAACTTGTACGACCAAGTAATGAAAAATGTTTGTTAAATAATTGCAACAGAAAAATGCATTTCATTTTTATCATCACTTCAGATGTTACGTGGGCATTCATCTTATTGCCTTCTTTGCCAAGATATATTAGACATAAAAATCAACATGATTATTAAAAAAAAAAAAACAGGTTATGTGTATTGTGTATACATTATATGTATATTAATCTTAATCCAATCAGGTACTTAGCATGAAATTAAAGCTATGCATAAAAGTATGTCAATGAAATTGCACTCTAATCCTTTTTTCAAGACTAATCCTTTATAATCGGTCAAACTTTCCACTCACCCATTGGTCCTTTAAACATCACTGTACCAGGCACCATTAGCACAGAACCCAACCATTTCTACAGACCCCATATGATCTCTTGCTGTATGTTCAGCTCTTTTTAAAGAGCATTGTGATATGCAAACTTTATGTTGTCTGTAAAGCAAGGAAATATACCTATTGCCTTAATGTCAAATGGCAAATTAATGTAAAAGTTTATTCACAATCCATCATGCTACAAAAGTCATTTTATAATCATGTCTTTGCCATTATGAAATTTTGAGTGATAAATAGCCCCACATGATCCAAGGTTGTTGTGCAGCAACTATTTGGATTCACTTCCACAACTTCTCCAACAAATGTTCACGAGTAAATCATATTTACTGCAGTCCTCTTTCACCTTTCCGAAAGGTTTTCCTCCCCTTGATGGAACAGCCAATACACTGTAATAATATATAGAGCAAAACATGCAATGAAGTCATAATAATATGCTGCGACTAAAAACACTATCAACAAAAATGTGTATCCAGTCACCCTTGACATATTGTCATAGGACAGAAACTCTTTCCACCACAAGACATTACGTCCAATGACATGTTCATTCCCATCCACTAGGGGCAGTGTAGCTCTCTCCAGCTCCATGTTGTACTCCATATTTGTTAAATCCTCTAGGGAACTATTCAGTTGGTACTCGTCCATAGACTCTGAGATTGAAGGCATAGCTAACGGCCTACCTCTGCTCAAGGAGGGTCTTTTTCCATAGCTTCCACTCATTGCACCTTCTCTGAATACTGACTGTTGTGAATTCCTCAGACTGTTCAAGTACAGCTCCATCTCGTCATCTATCTGCGATTCTGTTGAGGTATTGTCTTCAACGTCTTTTGCCAGGCATTCCATGTTTTCCAGCATATTGTTTACATCGTCAATAGTTTTCCAGTCACTTTTCATACTTTCATAGGACACATTCTCTTCTTTATCAATAAATTCAAAACGGTTCCAATCATTCTCCATAGCTTGCGTACTTCCACTCAGTTCGATATCACTCTTTTGAGATGATTCTTGCCAAGATGCAGCAGTTTCCTCACAGATCTCTAATCCAAGGTTGACGTGAATGTCCTCTTTTTCAGAGTACTTGCCTAGACTTTCTATTCCTTTTAAGTCAATATTATGTGGTAATGATTCAACAGTGCTGGTACTAATGATCTGCTTCTGTTCCTCTGAATCTTGTTCAAGAGAAAGCAGATCATCTTCATCTGCTCGTTGTTTCTCTTCTTTCTCAGATTCCATTGCATCCAAGTCCTCTTCATCATCTATGTATTTCAACTCTTCTTCAATGCTATTTATTCTTCCTTTACTTTCATGTTTTTCTTCTGCACCTTCTTGTTCCTCTGGTTCGTGGTTTTTCTCATCTTTGTCTTGTTTCTGCTTCTCCATCTGCTTAATTTGATTTCCATTTCCCTCTTCTTGCTCTTCCAGTCTTTCATCATTTTTCATTTTGTGAATCTCTTCCATCTCTTTAATCACTGATGTGTTATGTTCTGCATCAAAATTAATAATGTTGGAGCTCTCCGTCTCTGAAGTCTGTGTAGAAAACCCCATGAGTATTTGTTCCTCCTTTTCATTCATTTGGTAGCTCTCCAAAGTATTGCTCATAGTTATCTGTGTGTTCTCCAATGGTTCTATTGGCATAGCTTTTGCTATTGCTAAGTGAGAGAGTTCTTTAAGTTTTTCAATGCTCGATCTCATCTCACAGCAGTCAGGCTCTAATTTATCATCAGAGGAACTCAAAGTGCTTCTTGTGGGGTCCTCTGGAGCTTGGGCTAGAAAGCAAGAAGTGCTGATTGAATATTCTGTTTGCTCTGATATATTCTCCTCTTTGGTGTGGATAATTGTAGGGTCCTCCTGGTTCTGTGACTTTTCAGTTTTTATACAGGACCTCTGACTATCCAAACATGATGAAGTTTTCAAAACTGCTGTGGGTGATGATAGATGAATCTGTTCAGGTAGGCTGTCAGTACCTGACTCTATTGTTTGATTTGTAGTGACTAAAAGTTCTGGTCCTTGTTGAGGAAATAAACACAGACTTTGGCAAGGATCATCCTGGATAGAGCATTCAGTCAAAGCTAATGTGGCTGTGAGTGTGCACACTCTTGAAACCTGCCTGGATATAACTTTTGGAGGGTTTGTTTCGGTAAATGTGATGTCTCTTGAGTATTCTCTGGTACTACTGGTACAATCATTTTGATTGTAAGACGCTTCTGCGTTTTTAACATGTTTACTCTCATTTGGCTCAGGAAGAGGTTTTTTGGTTGGGTTTACTGCAAGTTGCGAGTTCTGTTCTGTTGATTCTTTGCAGACGCCAACATTAATATCATCTACTGTCTGTTTTGTAGCTATGCAAGACTGTGGCCAAATGTCTGTGGTCTCAGGGGCTGTGACCGCTCTTTGACTCTCATCCTCTAGTTTCCTAAATGACCTATCTAAAGCTTTAGGAAAGAAGTCTTTTCTCCCTATTTCCATGTTTTTAAAAACCTGATGATAAAGTGGGGCTACAATGGTCCC